GGCCCCTTCTGTGGGTAGATCAGTTTCCCCTCATGTAACTTTTGTCCCAGATTTGTTGAGGCCAAGGTTCCTCTGTTCCCTGCTCAGGGTAGATTTGTTGAGAACAAGGCTCCTCTAGTCCCTGGTCAGGGTAGACCCATGAGCTACTAACTGCCTCCTCTGCAAAACCACACTGCCCAGCTGTTGGCTTCCATTCCTCCTCAAGATTTATGTGCTGGTCCTCAGGAAGGTCCAGCACTTCCTCACTGTAGATCTGCAGGAACAGCAAGGCCATGAGAATCAGCAGCCATCGTCTGGTCGGACTCGCTGCCTCTTGTGGAAGTGGCCTCCTGACCAAGGGGGGGTACAACACTTTGAGGTGGCGCCGTCCCCGAGGTCGAGGCAGCAAAGGCCAGGTGGGATTGGGGGTGGAGGCGGCACCTTGGGGCTGAAACGGGACTCTGTAACAGCACGTGCTCATTTCAGGACTGTTCTGCATCCTCTTTCTTCTCTTCTCTTTTCTTCTGCTCTGCTTCTTTTTAGAGGTAGCGCAGGTGGCTGCGTGCTCCCCCGATTCTCCGCTCTCTCTTCTGGTTTCTTTGCCCGTCTGTCTCTTGTGTTTCTTTCAGTTGTCTGCCTCTCCACTGCTTTTGACTTCTCGTGTCTTCCTCTCGCGTCTCTCCATCTTTAAATAGTGGCGGAGGGAGCGGCTCCACCTCACAGGGAGGGTGCCTTTTCCTTTCTTTCTTCAGCTTTTTTTAGCCTTTGCCCCATGGCTTTGCTCCTTCTTAATTTAGCAGCTGTAAGCTCATTATTGATTTGTCTGCTCATTATCTGTAATTTGAGGGTATTTTTCAAACATGTTATTTTGTAATTTTATCTGTCAGAGTTCCTTTGATTGAAGGTATGCCTAGTATTACTGATCAGGCTCAGTGGATATCAGAAATTATTTTGCCCAGATCGCTCTACCAGCATGTACCAATGCATGCTCCCCAGCCTGATCATCCTGTGTGTGAAAATAATGGTTTGGCTATAAATGCTTTGCTTTATTCACTTTCTTATACACATAATGACTACATGTATGTTATTTACATCAATTGTATCATAGGAATATAGGGGATTGTCACAATTCTAAGGTCATAGTGAACAACTCAAACAGGTACACTCTCAGAGAAAATGGTAAAACTGGGACTTGTCACTGGGACTGTACCCTTGTAACTAAAACCTTTTAAGGTACAGAAACTGACGCTAAGGAACATCCCAAGGGTACAAATAGCATTAATGTACCATAATGAACACAGTCCCTGGCTGTGGTATAGAAATGGTCCTCAGAGCCCATTTCTGTACCTTAGAAGGTACAATTACCTACAGCTAAGGATACAATGGGCAGACCCTTGATGTTACAGCCCAGTGACAAGCAAAGGTACAAATTTTTACCCTTGCTGAGAGTGTAATGAGTTTTATTTACTCTAAGATGTATTCTGGTTGGGTGCCCCAAGTGCACGAACCCCCTTTAAAGAATGAGCTGCAAACGGCAGTGCAGCTGAACCCTGACTGACTCCGAAGATTTTACTGTTTGTTTGCTCACATGTTTGTGCTTGAGGTCACAGGTCTGCTCCTTGTTTTCATCACCTGGCCCTTTGTGTTTGTGGAAACTCCTCGAGGAAGGGAGGTGCACCCATTTGTTTTTAGACTGGTATTTAAGCCACTATCACGCTCAGCAGCAAGAACGTTTTTTCCTTTCTGTCTCATGTCATGTGTATCTCCTGTGCTCGTTGTATGTTATAGGGTAGTGAAGATGCTCACAGGGATGAGTCTGTATGAAAGGTAAAGGACAACTGAAAATTGGAAATGTGTCGGTGAAGAATTTGATTCCCGTCATCTAAAATGGGAAACATCATAAAATCTAAAGAAAATGTTTTTAAGAAATTAGCATGTGACTGTATCCCATCATTATTCATCTTAATCCTCCCTTCAGAAGGTCTAACAGGGCGACACCCCAGGCATGAACCACAAAGAGAAAAATGTGAGGAATGCAGCTGTAATCTACTGCTATTCATTCAGCCTGCGTGGGGTCACATGCACGCAAGCAGGGAACTGCTGAAAGCACGGCTAGCAGACACGTGGCTCTTCTTGGATTTCTGCCTTTCATTCTCACGTCCTGTCATGTCTTCAGCCACGCAGTTAAACACTTTCCACCTTCTAAGAAATGATTTCTGCATTTTCATCTTAGTTAAGTGCACCGAGTGGGTTAATCTATGGGCAGTTTTATTGACAGGCCAATAGCCTAAGAAGGACAGAAGCTCATAAAGATATTATTATGATTAAAGCAGCTTCACAATGTCAAAAATTCTTATGGTAGCTCTAACAATGAAAACGAAAGATCTCAAAGCAGCCATTTATACATTCTTACCTGATACTGCCCCTATGCAGTCACTTAACAGAATATTCACCATTGACTCCTTGACTTGTGACTCTAACACCAGCAGTACTGCTGACTTTTTCCATACCTACTTCACTGGCCATTGCTAAGGAGATTCATTACTAAGCACTGATCCTGCTGGCGTGATGCTATCTATCTACACTAGTGGCCAAAATTGTTGAAACACATCCAATTTTTAGAGTGCAGAACTTTATTCCAGTTACTCTAGTTACTTATTTAATCGTCCAATGTATGATATTTGTAAACATTCTTTGATTGTTTATAAACATCACTGCCAATATTTGTGTAGCAATTTTAAAGTGTAATGCTAAAAATGCTAGGTGTTTCCACAATTTTCCTGTTTTCCTCTTTGTAGCAGACCAGGTCGGTTTGGTCAGAGCTGCAATTTGGTTTTGGTGTTGAACAGAACGAGTGATTGGTGATTTACTTTTTCTACTTCCTGTAAATTCTTGAAATGTCAGCCTAATCCACCTACAGTAGGGCTTGTCTGGGGAATGCCTTCCTGCACATAACTATTTGGGTTATGTTAAAGGATCCAGTTTCTTTAACATTTCCTGCATTCAGTTGAGGAAGATCTATCCTGATGTGTTTTGGGAAAGTAATGGTGAAACACACTCTGTTTTTCGGTCAGCTTTGAGTCTTCCCCTCTTACTGAATCAGAAACTAAGCAGCTGACAGTGCATTTAGCTTTCAAGAGAAAGCCTTAATTTCCCCCCACACTGACTCATGTAATTTATCCTTAACTGTGTCACTTTCCCGCCAAAGACTTCTTTCAAAATATGCCATAGATATGCCATGAAAACTGTGTTAAATTAAATAATGATACTTTATTATTCACTGTGGGAAAATTCTTTTTGCCTACCCTATTTGCTCTCCATGACACAGAGACACATATATAGGTGAAAGCAAACTTGACAGTGAAGGGCAGCCATCTGGAGTATTGCCCATGGAGCTGGGGGTTAAGGACTTAAACCAGCAACCTTCTGACCACAGGCACAGAGGCTTAGCCTTTTGTGCTACATGCCCCCCCCCCCAGTAAAGATACTAGCTTGTTTAATATGCTTCTTAAATTTCAGCTTATTTATGGGTATACCTCAGCTGTACTAACTGGAGTGTAGAAAGTGGTCACATTTCCTTACATCAGTATTTCCCATTCCGGTCCTCCGGGACGACAATCGGTCCATGTTTTTGCTCCCTCCCAGCTCCCTACCAGAAGCGATAGAGACTGTCAGTGGGTCCCCAAGAATCAGACTGGGAAACACTCCCTTAAATAGAAAAGAACGTGTTGGCTTAGTGGCTGTTATCAGACGGTCACAGGTTCAAATCCTGTGGTCGGCAAAGTGATGTCACCATTGGGCCTTTCACCAAGGCCCTTAATCCCCTGTTGTATGTTACTTTGGATAAAAACATCTGTCAAAGAAATAAAAATACTTATTTATCCCTGAGCAAAGCTTTCATAATCACCCAGTTATGATGCTAGGTGTTACCAATGTACACAGTATTTACACTAACATTCAGTTATAAAGCTAGACAGAAATTCTAATCATAGCTGAAGTGCCTTTTTAAGGGAAAGCTGTTCTGTATCATCGCCTTATTGTTTAACAGGCATTTCCCTAATAAGTCAGCAAATTTAAATGTGTGTGTCCCCCTTAAGAAAAATCTTAACCAGGTCCCAGCCATTGCCAATAACACTGTTTTTCTCTATGGAGTATCGACTGCAGGGATGCTGTTTTCCTTTCACTGGGAAGGCCTGTACTCTGGCACACAAATGAATTATGAAATCTTGCAAATTTGCTTTTCATTATGTAAAGGAATGCAGACTCAATCTTTGTAACCTCCTGTACCCTCAATATACACTGACAGCTAGCATTCTGTATCCTGTGCTAGAATCATATGCTGATCTCTGATGCTTATAACTTCCTGTGGTCTGACAGATGCTTTAGATTTGCTGTGAGTTAGAAGCTTTTGAAAACTATTCACTTACAGTTACACATTATAACTTAAATATTTGAAAATTCCACTAGCGTTTCATCCCTACTGATTTCAAACCTAATACTTTTAACTATAATTGTTTGCATTTTAATATGAAATAATTCTTAAGACTGTATATGGTTTGAGGTTTAGTCTTTAGGTGTTAGTTGATGGGTGTTTAAATTGCTCTTTAATTAAAAGCCCGACAAGTTCATACAACCAGAATAATTTGTCTGGTATATAGATTTGCGTGACACCATCTGATAAGGTTTGTCTTTAGGCACTTTGGACTTGGTGAAAATGTTCTAGTACAAGCAGACAGGGAAGGATGAGCTATTTACGAGGTATTTGTTTTTTTTGAAACCATGGGCGTCCGACTGCAAATCATGCAACCAAAGGTTCAGAAAGTTCAATGAAAGCAGTCAGCCTATAAGTGCCACAGGTTCGTGAGTTCGGGAACATAGAATGCTGCCACTCACCCAGGCCCATGGCAACAACGGGACAAAAACATCCAGGAGCACGGCAACAACCCGGCAACCCACTGAAATCCCACAAACAGCATCATAACAGCAACATACCCAGAAGCCCTGCAATGACAGAAACCAGCTTCGGTGCATAGTCATTTACTGCATTTACTGACTGGGGAATTTTAAAACCGCCATGGGGGGTGGGTGTCTTACTATACAAAACCCAAGTACTTTATTAGTAAAAAAGAACTTTGCACAGTGCTCAATACACCTTTTCAGCAACCAGGAACATGCAGTCCACTGTATATCCCACACAGGAACCTCACACAGCTTCCGCCCTGCTACTTAATCCTTGTACTTTCATAGTTTCAACAGTTTATTTTTTTGTTCCTCACACCCAACAGTTCCTCTAGTCCCCCATCGACACTAGTGTGCCGTGCGTTGACAGTGCAGTCCCTCAACAACACAGGTGTGCCGTAATACAGGGTTAATGCATCTTCACAAAAGGTTAACCTTGGCTACGACCTGCTTGCAGCCATTGTGGGAGAACCGCCGCCCCGCAGAGGTATAATAGGAGAGCTCCCCGGCCAGGCGCTCGATGTGCGAGTGGTCCGGGTAGAAGCCTTCTTGGGTCATCTCGTCCAAGAAGCAGTCCATCACGTGCCTCTTCTCCAGCAGTGTGAGGGGCACCAGCTCTGTGTCCCTCCACAGCACGTGGTGCCCATCGAGCACATGGCGTAGGAGGGACACCAGCTCCCGGATGAGCCTCCCGGAGCTCCTCTGGCCATCCAAGGCCTCACTGGAGGAGTTCTGCAGGACGTAGCGGGTGATCTCTGAGTCACCCAAGCTGCCGATGAGCACGTAGATGGCGTTCAGGTACTCGTTATTTTGCCCGGGCTGCAGTAGGCTGTGTACGGCCTCCAGCAGGGGCCGGTGCATGAACTCCACCTCGTCGAAGATGAACACCGGGATCTTCTCTTCTTCCTCGGCCTGATTCACCACCTCGGTGACCTGTGTGGTCAGCTGAAGCGCACATTTCCCGGCGTCTTCCTCCTGGGGGCAGTGGTGCAGCACAAAGTACTGCATGACCAGGCGCTCCCCCACCACAGAGCGGAAATGGCGGGCCAGGATACGGCCCAAGTGGCTCTTTCCCACGCCGCTGGGGCCGTGCAGGGCCAGCGCTAGGGGCTTGCTGTGTACGTAGGTGGACAGGTAGTCCTTGAGGTGCCTGAGGAGCTCCTCTGTGGCCTCCGGCTGGCCAAAGACCTCCCGCTTTAGTGTCTTTTCCAGGCCCTCCAGGTCATAGGTCAGCACGTGGTCATCCAAGTTCTCGATGGCATTGTAGACCTGCAGGAAGACGATGACACTGAGGAGCACCAGGAAAGGCTTGGCGCGGCTACGGTCCTTGCTAGGAAGGCACTTGCGCCGGTCGTTGGGGAAAAGCACGGTTCGCTTCCTCCTTTTCGTCCTCCGATGGGAAGTCTCTAAAGTGCTGGCCGTAGCTGCCTCCTCAAAAGTGAAGATCTCTGGTCCCGTGGTGCGGTGGGAGAACCGGTGGGCCATCTGCACAGGGTTATTCATTTCTGCGCGCCTCTTCTTCATGGCCTGGTACTTGTGACGAATGCGGATCATGGCCTTGAGCTGGGACGTGAAGGGAGACGTGAACTGACTGGCCTTTACACTAGGGGTGTCCTCTTCCAGCTGGCTGTCCACAGGACTCTCAGATGTGTCTCTGTCTTCCATCTGATGTGGTGGACAGAACGGGGTGAGTTAGATTTAAAGCACAGAACCAAACTGGGATTATCGCTGCACTCTGAACCTATAGCGTGAACTGATCTCAACTGTGTATCACACACTAAAACAACAGCTGCATAGAGGCTCATATGATCCCAAAAATTAAGAACTGCAGTGGTTTTAGGGTCATTAACTTCAAGTGAAGCTCTATGTAGAAAAATAGACAACCGCACAGAATGTACAGCCGGCGGACGTCCATGCATCCACAGCAATGGTAATTTGGAGCAATTTGCTTTATTTTTTGTTTTATTATTGGCTGATGGAGAGGTCATCCCAAAAACCTGCACCCACACTGGCCCTCCATGGAACTGGTTCCCCACCCCTTATCTAACTGCATGTCCTTGGACTGAGGTAGAAATGAAGAGAACGGGGGGCAAATCCATGCAAGCATGGGGAGAACATGAAAGCATCAATCGGCGAACCCAACCCAGAATCCCATAACGGATCCCCAACTAACCCCAGTGGGGTGGATTTTACACAAGCTTGAGGGTGCATGTATATCTATGCCTGTATCAGCTTTATGAATCTAAGTAAAGTAGCCTTTTTACTAAAAAATAGTGATAACTGAATATGCTAAGAAGCACACAGACAATGCTAGTGACTGTGATCACAGCTACTGAAAGTCTTTGCTTAAAGCAGTTTTTTAGAGATTAAACTGAGTTTAGCAGCCAGATCTGTTTCACGCTGCAATTTGAAAGAGTGACATCGCAAGTTTGAAAGATAAGAAGTCAGGCTCATCCTAGGCTGATGTGAAACATCATAGCTGTTAATAGAAATGAGTCACTGAACACTATAACTAGGAATTGAACAGTTGCATAAAGAATATTACAAACAATACAAAATGGAGATAATCCTTGCAATAATGATGCAAGTATTTTTTATATTTGGGTTTGTGTGTCTCATCAAACATAGCAAGAACTTTAGGTTTAATGTCCCAAACATAACATTTTCCTAGAATCATTAGCTAAATGGCTAATTTATTATTAATTTTGCATTATTATTTTTTGGCTTCTTGGGTGGCAGGTTTATCCAATGACTTCCATAGCTTATACTGTAAATCCTCTGGTCATTTATACACAGCAGGATACTATATAGTCTCAACCCTGAAGCCTGTGGCCTTGATATCCTTAAATGCTGTTCTCCGTGCTTCTTCTCAGCATTCACAACTGGACCGTCAACTTTTCCCCACCCGAGTCATGACACTTTCCCTAAGGCCTGCTCTCTTATCTGGCATGGCTATTAATGACGTCCTTCCCTAAATAACAGATCATTCGCACAATGCAAAAAGAGGGGGAAAAAACAACCCCCTCTTTCTTCGTGAATTTAAATTGTTGATCTTATCCAGCATGTTACAACTGCCCAGCCCATGCGAGGTTGGGGTGTTTTTTCCAGGAAGAATGAAGCAGGGAACCGTTCAAATAGGCTGCCTCTCTATCACATGGCAGACCGTGTCCTGCACTCATCAAACAAAGGCTGGGGCTAGTTCAGTGATATCAGCTTGCCTAGCTGTGTCTTTTTTCGCAATTTTCAGAGTTCCTGTATGGGGGACAGTTTGTGTCCCCGAGACAATTTTACCATGCGCACACATCAGCTGCACCCCTCCCATGACAAATATGCAAACTTGGACTAGCAGGACAATCGGAATATTCAGGAAAGCAAGGGCTTTATGCAAAGGTGGCTTTGTGGTGCATTGCTGGGGGAGGGGGGGGGTGCATATTTGCAGAAAGGTTGAGAGGCCAGAGATGGTGAGACAGGGGAAGAGTGTGGGGGCTTGGGGGGGGTGGGGGGGGTAGGGGCGGTTATGAGGAAATTTGGGCTGGGAGAGAGCCGCAGAAAGGGAAAACATCAGAATGTCCCCTGTGGGCATTTGAGAAGGAAAAGGGGTCATCTGGTTTTTACCCATAATTCAGTGCTCAGCTGTTCTTTGGCCTAAAGGCAAAACACTACCCTTGTGCTGTCAAGTCTGTGCCTAAATTTGCATGAGTCTGCATGCGTATACATGCTCTTCCAGGGACAGAGCAGCAGCCCAAGCCAGCAGGAATAGCATGCGGCAGACACAGCACCTGCATATCCAGGAAATGGAGTGGCTTTTGGGGCTGATTAGAAATTTGCAGCAGCTGCACAGGAAGTCGCTGCTGCAGTATAATTTAGGGTGCAAAAAAAAAAAAAAAGTTGCGAGCCAGTAGAAATGGAGAAGTGACTGTTTCCCATGTCTGATGGGGTGATACTCACTTAATCTGTCCATTCAGAGGAGTCCAGTTCAGCAAAAGTCGCATTCGCTGGTGATCAGCTTAAAAAAGCATCTTGCATGGTGTAGAAAGGCCTCCCATTTCAGAGAAATGATGTGGCAGCCCTACCGTGACTACCCCTTTCCCCATGCACATGCTTAATATTCATAATGATTTCTGACCCAATTTTTACCACAGATAGTAGGTTTTCTGTTCAAATTTTAAGAAAATAATTTTATATTTAATTCATTAGTATATTATAACGTGAGATTCTTTATATTGCTTTGAAACAATTATCTGTGACCCTGAACTTTAACATCCATCCATCCATCCATCTATCCATCCATTATCCAAGCACTTAACCAGGGCAGTGTCCCTTCAGTGCACTTTAACTGGTCTTTTTTTAATTTGTTGTCCAGTAGTTTACCACTGCACCCACATCTGCATAACTGGACGCTGGCAGTTTTAATAACAGCGATTAGTGGCGAGGGAGCAAGGCAGGAGCAGCTGCATGTGAGTAATGGCCCTAGCTGTGCAGGTCCGTCTGCGCACTGAGGATCTGCTCAGCTGCGGCGCATTCGATACGAGAGAGAGAGAGCTCGGACGACTCCTTACCTTTCCTTGAAGACAGAGGTGTGCTTCAACACGTCACTTCGGTTAAAGTTTGGTGGTTTTCTACTGATGGCACAAGCGGCGGCAAGACACTCTTCCTCTGCCGACAGCCAGCCCTCACCCACAGCTATTCAGCGCCCCCTCCTCCCGCGCCGGGCGCCGTAACGCTCGCACCCACCCCCGAAGCCTTTAGCGGGACCGCCTCCTTCTGCTTCTCGTTCTTTCGTTCCTGCTCGCTGCTTATCGCTTTTCCTTTCTGCTTTTCTGCATTTTTCCGCCATTCATCCAAGGGGTGGTTTTGACTTTACTTCAGTTTGAGTAAACTCAGGAAGCCATACACATTATTCGGCGCTCTTGATACATTAGCAGGGCAGCAATGTGTAACGGAGCAATACATACTTACATAAAATAAAGTACTTGCTATGTGTTTCATTTACTTATTTACCTTACAAAATGAAGTAAATGCCTTACTGAGGAATCCCTAGCCCTAGTGCATGTTACGGCTAGAGTTCACCTAAACACAGTCAGTATGCATTTTACGCGGTTTTTGATGGTGCGATTCTAAACGCGGTTCTGTTCTGTACCGTACTGTGCATGTACAATGTTTTGTATTTTTCCCCTAATCAATACACTATAAATAAATACCGTACCTTTTTTAACATAGAATTTACATTGTATAGGTACAGTTCTGCAATCTAGGCACGATTTAAAGTATACGATAGTGTGGGAGTAAGTGTAAATGCAAAGTAAATAGGCGCATTTAAAATAGGGTCTTCAACGTACGCGGGTTCGGAGGAACCAATTGACCACGTGAGATGCCGGATCACTGTAATGACCTTTTCAGCCAGGAAGTCAACCCCCATGTGTATATTATACATTGTAAACGCCTCATAGTCGGAACGTTTTACATATTCAGACAGACGGAACTTTTTTATTCATTAATCTTCCGTTATTAGTAAATGGGTCATTCACGGGCATTCGCTTTTATGTGTCAGTGGACAAGTAAGTTTTTCATTTTGTGTATCTGTATATTTTTTTCTGCTCCTTTAATTGCAAAATTTGCTTTTCAAAATTTCCTTTTTGTCTTATGTAATACTAAACATCAGTAACGCAATAGGTCTACATCATATATTCAACTTATTCCCGTTCAGCTTGTCTCATAGAAGAAGTCTTGTATGTCCTTGTCACGGAGACAAGAAACTCACAAGCGTGGATCCAGTTCTGGTGTTTATTTCTCAAAGTCAGACTGCAAATTGAAAGTCATAGTTGAGGGTCAGAGAAAGGTAGAACAGCCACAAACAGGGTGATGAGGACAATCCGAGATCACAAAATGGGGAAGCAAGCCAAAGAGTCATAAGCAAGAGAATCAGGTAATGGGGAATCATCAGGAATCAGCCCAACATGCTTAGACCGTAGCTGCAAGGAGGACCAAGACTGTACACACTGCATTGAGAGTTTCACAGGTTTAAGTTAAAACAGGTTTGTTACATACAGCCCTAAGAGTCCAGTTAGCACTCTAGCGAGATTGCTGACAAGAGTTTGAAGGTGGCATGACATAAAGTAGCCTGGATTTATATCTTTAGATTAACGGTGCTATATAAAGTTTTATATAAAAAATACTTGATTATAATAAGAATAATATATGTGCCCAGTGATGGACTTGCATGCCTCGCAGCTGGTGAGGGCACTGTGATCAGAAGGTTGCCAGTTCAAATCCCAGGGTCAGCAGAATGATATCCCCTTTGGGTCCTTGAGCAAGGCGCTGGTCTTAAAGAGTCCTATTATGCTGTGGTCAGGTGAATCTTTTGTGTGGGTTTATGGTTACCAGGCCCATGTCAGGTGACCAGTCAGGCTCAGGCGTGGCCAAATGTGAAAACTATTTACAATCAATCTCCCAAAGAACTCAGGTCACGTGTTTCTAGTACAATCTGAAAGCCTTTGTGTGAAAATTCTGACGCCACCCTATGTTATTAGCCCTTCTGTTCACAAACCGTATCATGTATCATGGTAATTTAATGTAATTTATTTTGGGGCTGTTGAACTGTGGTCCCTGATTCATGTTGTAGTGCTTGCAATGCTGGTTATCTCTCAGAATATCCATATGGTAAATCCATCATTCATCTTTCAACCTCTTATTGTGGACGGGTTCTCAGGGGGGCCTGGATCCTCTCCCAGGCAGCACAGGGCAGGGATACATCCAGGATTTAATGCCAGGTCATGACAAGAACATGACCATTTTTAATTTGGCTCAAATTTCATGCTTATGCATTTTAACAATGTGATGCAAGTCTGTCACAGGGCACACACACTCGCAAACTATGGCCCACAAAGACAGCAGGTCACCTAACTTCATGTCTTTTGCATTACGGGAGAAAACTCACACAAACATGAGAACATGCAAACTCACATGTACTCAAACTCCTAACTCTGGAGGTGTGAAGCTACACTGCTTCTGGGTAAATAAATACAAAAGAAAATAAATACATGCCGCAGGAAATCTGGCTGCTATTTTGGGGGTAGGAGGTTTCCTTGAATTATCTATTCTGAACTGTGAAGAGGAAATTAAAAATATTCTTCCTCAGAGTGAAACAGAAGGATCCGCTGTTAAAAGGCAAATATCATGTTTTGAGGCTGTGGCTTTCCTGTCATTGTCTCTTGAATTTTATTGCACCTTGTACAGTAATAACAAGAGAATGTAATGTGACCACCTCGCCGACTGTTCTGCTTATGGTGTGTTTTCCTGTCTGATGTGATTTGCCAGTAGGTGGTCAGAGCTTGGTGGTCTTGAACTTAAGAGATCATCATACATTTCCAGATCTATTCGATGTGATTTTTTTCACTGAGGCAAGCACAGGGAACAGCCTTGTTAGGCTGCTTTGGATGGTGCCAATGCCTAACTTAACTAATACTTTTCAATAATTCTTAATTTATTACTGGGTTTATCTGGTGCCATTTGGATACTGTGCTGTGAGCTACAACAGCAGATCATTTTAACTAGGATTTGCCCTTCTTATGGACCTTCCCGTAATGCCTCAATCTGGCTTCCTGATTGTTATAGAAAGACAAAGAAATGGTGTCTGGAAAAGTAGGCTTAGGCTGCACACAGAGCAGGACAACAGTAGGATCTATTATTTGGCTTTTAGTTCAGCCTTCTAGACTATGTTTGTGAAAGTTTAAAAATAAACACAAATGGCTACTATACTGCAGCATTTCACAAGCATTAACAGTAATAGTGTGTTCACCGTTCTTGTAAGTTGGGAAGTTAGATGTTGTTACATCATCAGCTTCTATCTTCCTCTCAGCAGCCTCAGAATGTCAGCCAGTCAAGTGCAACTTCTTGGTGGGAATTTCTGGCTCCCCAACTTATCCGGATGATCGAACAAGGCAAGAGCTTACCATGGTTAATTTCTTTACAAGATAAGGACATTGCCGAAGCCTTAATACCCTAACTATGAATTCCTTCTTTGCATCTTCTTTTATTTACGGGAGGAAGTCACACCGCACTGTATAACACAAAAACAGCAAAACGGTAATACAAGAACAATAAAATGAAAAGAAAAGCATGTACTGTGTAAACCAAAAGCACAACAATGCTATACATTTAAGGAATGTATTTTTAAACCATTTCGAAAGCTTGGTTAACTGTTTAGCATGTGGTGGCTAACATGACGCATGCATATGTAGCTTTGGGTGTGAAATTATTAAAGTTGGAAACTACAGAATCTATTTTGACCAACAAGACTAAAGCAACTGAAATTTTTGCCAGATGATGATGATTGTACAAAAGAATTTGCATATATGTACTAACACATTTGGAAATTTGTGTGAAACAATGAGAAATGATGTTCTGCTGTGCAAGGAAACACTGTTCTATACCTTCCATGTGGCTGCGCTCACCATCTCGGCTCCACAGGCACAGAAAATCAGTAGGTTTTAGCTGTGAAGGTAGCTTTAGAGAAGCGGCATTCCTCATAATCACAAAAGCTTGGCACGTCTACAAAGCATCAAGCGCTTCAGCCCCTGGGCGGCCCTGTTGGGCCTTGTTTAGTATATGTACAGTATTCCAAAGCTTTTTCCTAAGTCAAGAAGGCCCTGTAGCTCAGCGCCCAGGCTTGGGCTTCTAAGTAGGCTCTTCTGATGGACTGAGCTCATTCCTCCATTGGGGGAAGGTCAGGTTTTTGCTGGCCACAGTGGAGGAAGGACCCTACCTCACTATGTATTGCTGGAGCACCACTACCCAGAGGGCTTTCTTCACCCACTGCCTCTGCCTTAGTGTCCCTAGTTGCACGTTATTGTTGATTTAGTAGCGGTGGTCTGCTACTCCAAAGGTGTCAGCTTCCTAAATCCTAAGAAGCATCTCTGTATAGCTTTGCAGGAGATGCCACACCAGTTTCTCATTTTTTGCCAGGGTCTGGGAGGGGTGTTTTTGCCACTTGGGGCTGACTGTCAGTCTGCTGCCTAGACCCCATCCACAGAAAAAGTAACATGTTCATGAGAAACTTCCTGTGGTCTTGTGTCTCTGGTAGATATTATTAGTGGGCTGAGTTCTTGTGTCCACACTGCACTGTGGGCTAATAGCCAGTGGCCAAACCCTCAGGCTAAACCAGTGCAGAAATTTGCAGCTAAAAGCAGGCAGTTACGTCGACAACGTACCTGCAGCACAGGTCTGGGTGCCTCATACCTGTCCAGCATAATTTAACATCTAACTTTAATGAAAGTCAACTGGTTTTTCTGAATGTTTCCTAGTGAATGTTTTTTTTAAATCTCTGATCATCCCTTATTGCTAAAGGTAAAAGTCAACTGAAATATTGACTTTCAGTTTTTCTCGATTGCTTTTGCACATTTCATGAAACATACTTAACATTCCAAAGACTATAAGAGCATTTCTCAAAACTGTTTATGTATATAGCACAACACTATGGTTTAACTGCAATAGCCTGCAGCTTGCAAAAACAATGAACAATTAACTCATGTCTCAAAATAAAATCCACCAATGAATTAGTCAGTGCTACCAAAATGAAAATGCACATGCATCATCTTAACCATGAGGGCCAAAATGCTTAGATATATCATTGGTATGTCAGTGTAAGTATGTCAGTGTAAGTATGTCAGTGTAAGTCTGCTCCTGAGCTCTACAATTCTGAATAATAGTCGGTTCCCACTTCGTCATTGTCACTGACTGATCATTTTTCTTTAGCAAACTGATACTCATTCATGTCAAAGACACCAGTTATAACACTGCAAGGCCATACATTACAGCACATAAAGCTCACCGCCAGGAGAAAGCATTTGGAAGCACATGTAACTTCCTCAGATCACAAAATGGTACAATAGCAAACAAGAAAGTCACACAGCACTGTACAACACATAAACAGCAAAATGGTAATAAAAGAACAACAAAATAAAAAAGAAAACCATGTACTGTGTGAACCAAAAACACAACAATGGCGTATCACTGCAGCTTATGGAATTTATTTTTAAATCATGTAACCAATCAGCTTGGTTAACTGTTTTGCATGTGGTGGCTAACACGACGATCACACACATATATAGTTTGGGGTGTGAAATTATTACAATGGGAAACTACATTATGTATTTTGAACAAGACTTAAGCAACTAATAACTGTGCCAAATGCTGACAATTGTATAAAACTATTTGCTTATATCTACTAAAAAATTTGGATATTTGTGTGAAACAATGAAAAATGATGTTCTGCAAGTGCTGTGGTGTTGGGATTACATTTATTGTTTTGCAGAAGTTAATTGTCATTTGAGTAATACACCAAAGACGTCGAGAAACACTGTAAAAACAAAGTTGCCAACTCTCACGCATCTGGCATGACAGTCACACTTTTAGACTCTCACACTCACAAAAGAAATCTAAAATTAGCTACATAAAAAAATTAGCTACTTCAAAAGCATTGCGTTAGTGTGCAAAACCTACAGACTATTTACAGTACAAGGTAATACAGTTTCTCTTAATTGCTTAAATGCAGTTCTCAAAACACTAACCTCATTTCCGTAACATAGCCTCAAAACTTCACAACCTTAACACCACAGCAAATAGTAAAGCACATTTTGCAAATCATTAAGTATATACATCATTGCTTTGGGCAGTGGTGTCCTAATGGTTAGGGAAGCACACTTGTAATTGAAAGATTGCAGGTTCAAATCCATGGTCACTGAGGTACCCTAAGCAAAGTACTGCTCCCTGGGCGCTGAATTAGCTGCCCCCTGCTATGTCACAATGTCACATATGGGTTAAATGCAAAGGATACATTTTGTTGTTGTGTGGTGTGTCAACAGTAATCATTAAATTAGACACAATTCTCAATTTACTCTGATAAGTTAATGAGAACAGATTGTTCTTTTAACATTTCGGAATATACATTTTACATTCATATCAATACAATAGATCATTGTATAAAACATTGCTAAATACAATGTACAATGAGTAGTGTATTCATTTGGCAGTTCGTTCGAAGGTATATAAGAATAATGAGCACCCCCCCCCATTCTACATGTGCAAATCATGGTTAATTGTTACTAATTACAAACCTTTACAAGGTCTACCTCAGTGTTGCTGCAGGAAAACAATGGAGTAAGTATGAACTGTAAGAGGAAGAGGTGGAGACGTCAGAATGTGTGGTGGAGGGGTGAGAGGAACACAGAGAAGATCAGGAAGAGGCAGGGGGCGTCACAGGCAAGTAAACGTGTCAAATGAGATCAGGGTCACCATTGTTGACCATGTGATAAACCATGGGCTAAGCGTGGCTGAGGCTGGGCGAAGGGTCCAGCCGCAACTAAGCCGCACCTCATGGACATCCATAAAAGGCGCGTTCAGAAATGAAAACAGGTACATAAACAAAATCCTGCACATTGCATACATATTTTACTGTTTATGTGCAAATGGCATCCTGTAACAGGTATTTGTACTGTTGAATTCATGGATTCATGTTGGTGCCATTTCAGGACTGTACCATGTGGCAGAGACCCATTATTTTCACCAATACAAGAGATGGCAATTGGTGACATGGTGAGGGCCAACAATACAATTATACTTTGCGACATCCAGAGCACCATTCTACAAGACATCACCTCTGGGAACATCACCTATGTCAGTATCCCTACCATAGGGTGCTGAAGAGACTTGCTGGAGCAATGAAACAGAGATAGAGGGTGAAGGAGCAAAGGTTCCTGTATGTACAGGTACAGTAATGTTTTCCCAATATGTCAATGTAATTTTGAGGCCTTACTTTAAACAACCATTCTGTAATTTTTTTCTTTGAGTCGTGTGTTACACTATTGGATGTTCATTTGCAATTTGCTATGATATGTCAGATTTTTGCTTTGCAGAGAGTGATGAAGATGGAAGCGAGTGACACTGCATACACGTTTGTGTGTGTGGTTGAAGCAGGATTCAACCTGAGTAAAGTCAGGCAACGTGGCAGAAACACAATAGGCCATCGAGCCATAGTGTCATGGATACGGGCGGCTCGGACGCGAGGACGTGGCATCGGGCACAAAAAGGGCGGACGACCCACTAGCGGCTCCAGGAACAGAAAGGGGTTTATTAAATAAAACAGAAAACACTACAAACACAACGAAACCAAAAGGACCACGAGGGTCAAAAACTAAATAACAAAAACTGGGCAGGTAAGCAAAATACACACCACACAAACTGCTCTATACAAATCAACCACAATCAATACAAACCAAATCAACAACACAATGAACCACTGAGGAACTAAGCAGAAGCAGGAACTAAAATACTAAAGGGGTAACAAGACTAACACAGGACAGTTGAGACTAATTAACAGCAGTGCTTGAAGTGGGCCGGAAAGCAGCGGAACGCAGTTCCGGAACTTCTGTATTTTCGTCTTTTGGGTTCCTCCACTTTTTTCTGTGTTCCGGTACTTACTGAAACTGATCCGACGCAGCGACAGTGGCCCGAGAATAGACAATATCACAAGACCGATAAAAGACTACATTACCCACGAGCCACGACAGTGCCCTATCATATGCATCCACTGAGTCCCAACCAATCGCATCAGCTTTAGCCCTAGTCTATTGTTAGACCTACAAGTATCACACTGGTCTGGTTCATGTTGTTTTAATGGTTTTTCAGTATTCCATTTGTGAATTAGAAAAAAGTAGCCTATGCCTATAGGTTATTGCTTGGAAGAATGATTAAATTAAAATAGTTTTTGAACCAACACATCCTAAAGACTTGATTTTTTTTTCACCGCACAAATGTCAAATGTTGGAAAATTAGAGTTCCTGCACTTATTTTTTCCCACTTCAAGCACTGATTAACAGCGATCAGGAAAACAGGGCACAGGTGAAACTAATAAACTCAGGAGGAAACAAGGAAACTAAGAACTAACCAAGGAAACATAAAACACTAGGGAATTACAAACAGGTAAAGACAAGCAGGGACAAAATCACCAGATACAATAACTAGAAACACTATGGAGCAACATACAAAAACAGGAGGCAGGATTCAACACAGGACAAGTTTCACAGGTAACCACATGCTCAATGCATTGAGCCATGTGGCTAGACAGGTAACAGGAGAGAACAAAGACTAACACAAAGAACGGGATGACCAGCAACACCTGCTGGCCAAACGGGGAAGGGACACAGAGTAGGACAACAGGGGCTGACCCTGACACACAGTGGATGTGCCAGGTCATTGTGGTGGTAACAGAACCATGTGTGCTGCAATATCAGAGGATGGTGTCACATGAAATTGTATTGACATTCACATTAATTCCAGTTCATACAGTTTTAATAGTCGCAGTTGGTTCCATGTAATTATCTCCTAGGAGTCCAGGTGAGGGTTCAGGCCGTGTAGTGTCAGCTCGGGATCAGCTCAGGATCAGCTCGCGATCAGCTTGGGATCAACTCAGAAAAGAGAAGATGGAGAAGAGTTATTGCCCTACACCTAACCTCCAGCAGTACTGAAGTAACTATGGCAGCCTGGCTAAAAGAGAGACCTGGAAGGAAGCACAGACATGAGGGTTTCCAGGGGTTTTGGTGTCAAGCCAAACTACTGTCAACAGCTTAAGTGATCGGTGAGAGTGGCAGGACCACAGCACCAATCCCCCTTTTCACCTTTAATCTCAAATGACTATGAACCTCCAGATCTCCCATTCATCTTAGAAAGGGGGATTTTACTATCCAAAAGACTGGCTAAAGAGGTAAGTCTTAAGCCTTGACTTAAAAGCAGAGATTGTTTCTGAGTTCCGAACACTGTTACTGTGCGGTGCTTTAGAGCATATGCTCTTCCCCCAAAAGTAACGTTCTTTATTCTGGGTATGAATAGAAGACCTGCATCGTGCACAAGTGTACAAGCCGGAATGTAGTTGCAAATGAAGTCACTCACATACTGCGATGCAAGACCATTTACAGCTTTATGAGTTAAGAGTAGTATTTTGTACTCAATACAAAATCTAACTGGTAGCCAGTGAAGTGAATATAAAATTGGGGTAATATGATCATATTTTTTAGTTTTGGTGAGGACTCTGGCTGTTGCATTCTGGACTAGCTGGAGTTTACTTAATAACCTATTTGGACTAGCTACAACTCTCTCTATTATTTTAGGGATAAATGGTAGATTAGAGATTGGTCTATAGTTTTTCATTTCCAAGGGATCCAAGTTTGGCTTCTTCAATAGAGGTTTAATTACTGCTAGTTTAAGAGATTTTCATGAATGGCCAATGCTTATTGAGGAGTTAACTATTGCTAGTAGGGGTTCAATCACTGCTGGGATCATCTCTTTGAATAATTATGTTGGAACAGGGTCTAGCATACTAGTAGATGAATTTGAAGATAAGATTAAGGACATCAGTTCTGATTGGTTAACCATGGTAAATGATTCAAATAGGGTGGTTGCAGCATTGTGTCACGGCCAGAGAATGTAGTTATTGGAATAGTCAAAATGTTCTGTCTAATTGAACATATTTTTTGGTCAAAAAATTGCATAAAGTCATCACTGGAAAATAACGCGGCCACACTTTGAGTAGCAGTCTGGTTATTAGTCAGCTTGGACACCATATTAAATAGGAATCTATGATTATTTTTGTTTATTTCAATTAGCTGAGATAGATACTCTGATTTAGCGGCACTAAAAGCCTTTTTCTTGCTACCCATAGCCTCTTTCCATGCTAGTTCGAACACCACTAATTTATTTTGACACCTCTTACGTTCTAATTTCCGTGCCTCCTGTTTTAAAGTACGCAAGTGGTAATTATAGCAAGGAGCATTTTTATTTCTTTTTTAATTTTTAATGGAGCAATTTTATCTAAGGTAGAACTAAGCGTAGACGGTAAACAATCCGTAGTGCTATCAAGTTCAGCGGGATTCGACATTACTTTTGACCAAAAACAATAGCTCAGGGAGATTATCAGTAAAGTTACTTGCTGTATTTGACGTGATTGCACGTTTGCCGCAGAAGTCGAGGAGTTAATATTTTGAGCAAGGTAAATATTAAACGTAATTGGATGATGGTCAGAGATAATACTGGTCTGAGGCAATAGAGTTACATTATCAAGACCAAACAATAGGATTAAATCAAGGGTATGATCGCAGTTGTGGGGGGGGGGCAATTACATTTTGAGTCTAGTAGTAAAGGCTATTGTCAGGGGATTTTGTTCGTTGTCTACATGAATATTAAAATCCCCCACAACTATTGCTCTTTCAGTTGAAATAACTAGGGCTGAAAGGAATTCTGCAAATTCAGCTAAAAATTTCGAATAAGGACCTGGTGGACAGTAGATTGTAATGAGGGGGAGAGATAGAGTTTTAGATTTTGTACAGGTGCTTGAAATTTTGAGGAACAATAATTCGAATGATTTAACTATATCCCTCATTTAAGGCTAAGTACTCATTGGGTTTTACCCATGTCTCTGTTAGACAGAGCATGTTTAGGACATGGTCCGAAATCATTTCATTTAGAATAAGTGCCTTAGTAGTTAATGATCTAATATTTAGTAATCCTATTTTTAGCTTAGTGGTGCAGGTGGTCTGCATTAGCTGCTCTAATATAATACAAATTAAATTTGAAAAAGACGCTTTTCGCTGTCCACATGAACTATTTGCGGTTCGGGGCACAGAGACAATGTCAATATGGTGGTACCTAGGTGAGCTCCAGTTTGTCAATGGCCACCTAAACCTGTACCCGCATAAAGGCTAGCAATTAAATGAGCTGGTAGTGAAATTTAATAAATATATGGAATGGCTGAGGTCCCCCTGAGGAGAGGTTTGGGAACTGAAGCGGCGTTCATCTAGCCAACCGATTAAATATCAGTAACTTTTTGGAGAACAGAATAAATTCTTACTCGTTTTTGTTGTGTTACTGTTAATGGGATGGGATTGCGTTGAGCTGCCATCCCATCCAGGCTGTTCCCCAGCCCTGTGCCTTGTGATGGACTGGCATGGCTGCCTGGGGTCGTTTCCAGCTTCGCCCCTCTGTGGTTAGAAGACAGATGGATGCAGAACTTAGGTGTGAATAAATGGGTGGTGGTGAGACTGTGATTAGACTGAATGCTCTCACTGTTGGGCCCTTGGACAAGCCCCTTACTGTCAGATACTCAAGGGCTGCCCTGTATTCCACTTTGGACAAAAGCATCTGCTAAATAAATGTAAGTCAGTTCAATTAAAAATAATGATGGCTGTACAGTACATGTTAGTGTATTACACAAAGTCTTCAGCGCCAGTCACTGCAGGTTGTTTGGATAGAACAATGAGGCTGTTATCTTAGTCCAGTTATTCTTTATCTTTTCACCACACTCATCGATGTCTGTGTTTCGGAGTGTGTGTGAATATGTTTGGGTACTTGTGCAATTCTTTAGCTGTATGTACACTACCTCATGAGTTACAACATGAAATTAAATATTACAAACTGCACAATTGCACCCTAACCCTAACTCTAACCTTTTGAGTGTAGAAAGAGGTGGGAAAAGTAAACCACACAGTAGACAGATCATAAGTTACAGAACTGGGCTCTATACAGCCCTTTGTAACAATTTGTTATTGGTGGACCATTGGAAGATGATGTAATGGCATGATGTAATGGTATGAGGTATCTGTCTGTCTCTCTGTCTGTCTCTCTGTCTGTCTCTCTGTCTGTCTCTCTGTCTGTCTGTTTAATCATCAAGATCTTTCTACCTACTGTCTACCATTTACCAGAACCCTCATGAGGTTTTGTGCCTTTGACCTACTTTTGCTTTACTGGCCCTGATTGAGGTTTGCCCCACTAGAATTTGCCCCACTATACTGTGATTTCCTGCATCTGACCCCATTGCTTGGTTCAGATTGACTGTTGACTCTGCACTTGGATCAAGACTTTGATTGAGCAGCATGGTCACTGCAGGTGTTCCTTATTGTGGGGACAGTTAAAGGGCAAGTGAAAATGTGCAGTTGTTGTTGAGCAACACAATGCCTCATGTTATGGAAGACTGTGCCATAGGCCTGTTAAGTGTGGTGTTGTCCACTAGAACCATTGCCAAAAATATTAGCTGTGTTTCCGTTAAAGTCCAAGTTTAATTGCAAATAGAGTGTGTTTCCATTAATGGATATTGTGTCTTCCATGAGTTAGTAGCTCTAGAAGACCTAATTATCATGTCCTTCATACAATATCTACTAATTTGCAAATTCTGTTTCCACTGCAATTTTGCAAATTACTTGCCGCAAACACCACAACGCAAAAAACATATTTTTTTTAACTTGAGTGTTTCCATTAACATTTTTTTTAATTTACATCTTCAAAATGCACAAAATCTAGGTCAATGGAAACTACTGTCCATTATTTAACCACAGGCCACCTCCAATGACATTTTTGAGCCTACATCGGCAGCACATCCAACCAGCGTCACAATCGCAGACCACATGGCCTGCATACTCTGGCTGCATGCTTGCGACAGCTTGTTCCAGCTCCCACCGGTATCAGACAACGTTCCGCAAACCTGATCACCTCTAAAGGGATTCCAGTGCTACAAGACAATATAAATCTGGGAATTTCTTTCCACAGGGTCTGTGACTAAGAGAGCCTAATGAATCAATTTCAGGCACCAGGTTTTTATTTCTTAATTTATTTCCAATAAAATAATTGAAATGATTGAATGTCATTTTTGTTCAATATATGTGTCATTTGTAGTAGTTGTAGTAGTGAGTAGTTTGTAGCTGGCCAGCTGCATTGCGGCATCAGAAAAGCCCAGTTTTATTATGATTTCAAGTAAATGTTTAATCATCTGGCTTCCATATAATAAGCAGAGGACGTATTGTGTGAGCAACACCAAGACTACCAGTCAGTGGATGATTACACTTTGGATTTTATCACCCTGACAGTTTGAACTGGTCCTACTTGTACCGTCATGGACTAAGCTCAGATCTACAGGTAGAACTGACATGTGGGGGTGATGTCTGTAATTCGGAAACCTACATACAGATGTCTGTATTCATCTGTAAACATCAGAGATACCTCCAACATCTGTAAGTCAAAGGCCCACAGACGCTATCCCTGTAGCTGAGGCCTGACCTGATGGCTTTAATTTTGCACAGAAACCTTTGGACTCTGGGTGTGGAGGCGGAAGTTCTCACTGCGGCCATTAATTTTGAAGAATAATATAATATTTGGAGATTTGGACATAAAGACAGATGCCTAAAGCAAACGTTCCCTGTCTCTCCTGGACTCTGTTGGATGTTACCAGCATGTATCGGGACCAACGCATATTATGCGTTGCGTAGATATTATGTTCATCATGTATCTGTCGGTTCGTTTGATAAGTCCTTCTCTGACCATTTTCTAATCACCTTCATGATTCAGCTACCTTCTTTGACTGTGTTGGAGAAATCTGCTACAATTTATGAATGTAGTAAGTAATGTTAACTTCATTTCTAGCACTAATGTCAACAAAGTCACACAAGGCTTTAATACCGTGGTTAGTTGGGTTTTGGACGAAATGGGTCCTTTTCAAAATAAAGTAGTCAAAACCATCACACATTGCTCGTGGTTTAATAATCACAGCTCTTCTCACAAACATGAATGCTGCAAATTAGAGCACAAACAGTAATTTATTGTGTGTCATCGATGTCTGTGTTTCGGAGTGTGTGTGAATATGTTTGGGTACTTGTGCAATTCTTTAGCTGTATGTACACTACCTCATGAGTTACAACATGAAATTAAATATTACAAAGTGCACCCTAACCCTAACTCTAACCTTTTGAGTGTAGAAAGAGGTGGGAAAAGTAAACCACACAGTAGACAGATCATAAGTTACAGAATGGTCCATGTTTACAAGCCACATCGTCCACTCAGATCACAGAACGCTGGTTTCCTTGTCATCCCATATGCCAGTAAAGTAAGAACTGGCGGTAAAGCCTTCCGGTTTAGGGCCTATACTGTGGGACAGTCTGCCAGCTCCTGTTCGGAATGCTGAATCACTCTTAGTCTTTAAATTTCACCCGAAGACCCACTGCGTCAGTCTTGCCAAAATTCCCCGGGAAGGGTATTGAGGCACCAGGAAACCTTAGACCCCTCCCACGGGTTTTCTCTCCCTATTCTGGAGGTTTTGGTTCTTCACCTCTGTTTTCTTTCTTTCTTTCTTTCTTCACTTTCTTCTTTATAAATGATGTAATGATAGATTACTGTGCAGCTTTGTCATGTGCCTTGGGGCAACTTGATTGCACTATATAAAAGTTAATTCTATTGAAATTAAATTGTACATTAGAACAGAATGCCCCATCCAGTCAAGGCTGGGCTGGTGTTACTCCTTCACTCCATGTGACAGCTTTATCACAGCCTTGCACTCTATGATGACTCAGGGGTCACGGGGAACTTCAGCGAAGTGGAATGAGTGGATGACTTGGAGCCCGTCCTGTGTTTAGCCCTGTCCTGTCGCGCCACGTAGCTGTTGTTGGTTTCCTGTCCTCTGGGTACTGGGCTTACTGTGATGTATTCATTGAAGCAAAGGCATCATTGCTTACACCACTGTGGCTGCAATACGATTGCCCTCCTTCCTGGAACCTCGCCTTCTTGCAGGAATATATATATATATATATTATCCCAACATGAATCCCTGACTACCAACCTCATTCTGAGTTGTGTGGGCAATAAGTGGAGAAACTGCATTAGCCACCGCCAGGGGGCGCTTTGAGTACTTGGTTATGCCACATGTCCAGTTCTGGTTGGCTGACTCTGTTGTCACACATTCCACAACTCAGGCTTATGTGAATATAGAAATGACCTGGCTCCAATTTTGCTCTATGAATCATTTAAATAAACGCTTCCCCCAATATATAGAGGTAAGAGTGAAGCTTGTTGTTCGACCGCAGGATCAGCCGTCCATCCGGCACCCCTGCAGCATTGCATTTCACAGGGGGCTAAGGATCTTCCTCTGAGGCCCAGCAGCGATGTGGTTACTCTGCTGTGCACGGAACTCGAGCCACCGACCTTCCGGCACAGAGGCCTAACCTGCTGATCTGCGCGCCGCTCACCCCTCCCCCTTTACCAGAAGTCTTGTCATATAGTGTTACTGTGTTTCTGTGATCTCTTTCTGCTGCTTGAAGGTGTC